TCGATTACAATACCGATTAAACGTCTGGGAATGTACCAAATATACGTTCCGACTGGAAATTATCATGCTTTTCAGGGACTCATTATAGTACGACTAAGTTGCGAAAATGAGGTCAAGCAATTTCAATATATGCCTCAATTTGTAAATCTCCTGGTCCCTGGGCTTTGCATATGTTAGAGGCAGACTCCTGATTATAATCGATTTCACGACTCCTAGTTTGATTATTTTTGTATGATTGAATAAAAAGTAATAATGAACTCGCGTGCGTTGGTTTTATCTATGCGTGTCTCTATCCAATTTATTACCTTCTTTACTCATTAATACATTTATTCTTAATTTCTTGCTTTGTAGCAAACATAGTATTGACATCTATTCCCTCCATTAGCTCAAATAATTCACCCAAATGTACACGATAATGTCTCGGTGTGGGAGACTTGCCAACCCATCAAGAAAATATTATGCAAACACAAAACCGCTTGTAAAGGTACATGCCTATGAGTACAAAAATTTGCTCTCGCAGAATACATGGCTAATACAGGACGCTCAATATACTGGTAAAAAAATCAAGATCTTTTGGTTATCAAAGCATAAGATAGGGAGTCTAAATAAGGTAACAAGACAACCAACCTCCTGAATAGGGGGAACGAGTGAGGGAAATTGAATAGGAACTATTTGTAGCTTTTTTATAGGCTTAAGAAGAGGGAAAGAAGGAGAGCAGGAAGAGCAAATGAGCAAGAAAAGGAGGCTAAATTAGCCTCTAGTCTATAAAGGACTATCACACCTCTACAACATTAACATTACCTACAAACTATAAACAATAGCACATAACTAAATAAGAGTCAACATTAGAGGATCGTGCGCTAGTTTATTTATGTCAGAAAAAAGCTGCCACCGAATCCAGTTAGGGTTTATGAAGTTGCCTCACTCATCAGCAAGTATGTAGAGTAGGTTTGAGTTAGACAACCAAATCATGGGATGTCTGTTTAAGACCACAAGGTTAGGTGCATCTAAATGTGACTATGGTTGCAGTCCGCCACCTTTTGCTCTTGGTTTAGAATATTTTTTGCGTTATTTCGTTAAGTATGATTTATTGTCCTGATGATGTCTGGCATAGTACAGACGAAAGCATAGCATAGGTCCATCGGGCTCGTAGGAAGGTGAGCCAAGGACTTCTTCTCACAATCCAATAGTCTTCATTTCACAATAATCCTTCTTCGATTTCCGGTGAGACCATTTCACGAATTCCTTCCAGTTAACTTTTCCTTCCAAATGGAAAGTCATCTCATATCCAGAGCAAATGCCTCACCTCTTTTTGTACACCCTGAAATGGTACAAGGTCTCGACTCAGACAAAATCTCATCTGCAGCTCTAAATGGAATGGTTAAAAATTTCTATGTGGTACAGCTATGCCATATTTTCCTAAAGTAATCATTCATTCGAAAAGTACATCTCTAATAATTTTGAGGCAAATTGAGAAGTTTGTTTAATCTCAGTAATATCTATGCGGTAGGCAAATATAGAATTTAACCATCTGGCTCTCAATGAAATTAGCATATAGTTTAAGATTCTCCAGTATTTGGCCAGTGACGCCTTTTAATAAGCAACAGGCGTGGAAGTCAATCACTTAATTAACTTAAAGGCATCTTATTTGCAGGTCCATTAAGTTCTACAACAACAGATTCCCGAGAATCATCAGAGCAAGCCAATCGGTGTATAATTTAAACGAAATTACAAGTATATGTAGAATCATTTTTATAATACCTTGTACTTATATTTTTTTTAATAGATACTGGGCATCACATATGAAATGGCTTCAAATTCAGTTGATCATTTGGCCATATTGGAGGGACAGCCTGGAAGTTATTTCTGTGGGTCTTACTTATTGCCCAGCTTCGTCACGAATATTACTCATCCCGTTTTAGCGTTAGTGTTTCGTACAGACGAAAGTGTTCAACGCAAAGGCTACGATATGACTTATGTGTCGACACATGAAGGTGAGGCAAAAAGGATTATAGGCGGGTTTTCGAGAAAGGATCCTTTTTTTCTATTGTCCTTGCTAATGATTATGTTTAGCTTAACTTGAAAATCATCTCTTTCTATATGCTATTTGGAGACTTATTATTTGCATTAATATATCTATTGATGATGAGATAGAAGTTCTTATACTTTATTTCAGATTACTCGATTATTATTGGTACTAATATTGTTATTGATATTATTATTACTATCTCTTTGTTGCTCATTTCAGTAAGCCTTTTATGATAATTTTTCTTATTTACTAACAATTTAACCCTCGTTGATCATATCGAAGAACAATTAGGCTTCCTAAGAACTAACTTCTCGCGCGCACAGAATTTTTTCTCCAGTCACCCAGTTTTGTATACATGCCAAGCAATGTAGCCCATTGCTTTAACAGGCAATGCAACTGAGATTTGGAAGATGCTGACAAGACGGAAACAAAGTTGAAGCTACAGTTTCAGGTTTAAGCAAAATTAAATGGTATCGTGAGCCCTACTCATGCGAGCGAGAAAAATACTCGTCTTAAACGACCTAGGGTGACTATGTTCCCATAAAAAATATGCAAAGACATATTCAATTAATTGAAGATCCTACTATAAATGTTTCGGAGAAGCCTAACTTTCCTTGAATGACTCACTGGCTCTTGTGGCTGTACGATTTAATCGTAACATCACCATGTTACTCATGACTCGGCCTCGAATTCCCTTACGGATGTTGATGAGACAGTAAGGCCATATCGATGAGGCAACAAAGATAAGGCTAAGTGAAATTAAATGGAATCATAAAGCTTACTCATCTGATTGTTCCAAAACTCAACTTGAGCGAGGTAGACTGACTAAGTTATCAATAGTGACTGGCCCAAAGATCCCAGTTAGCAGCACTTACAATGAAAAAACCTCCCTTGTTTTAAGTAAGGATGAAAATTCCCGAAAAATAGTAATTTCGGCTAGAATTACGGATTATGCCTCCCATTCTCAGGCAATTATCTCTTTGATGAAGTATGAAGGGGTTACTTTCCTGCAGAGCAATGCTAATAAAAATTATTGACGATTCATGATTAGGTTAGTCAGAATCATCTAATGTATTTATATGTGTAAAAAGGTTTTATTCATAGCAATTGTGCTGACCCATTTCGTTATCATTTTGCGATGAATTCTTCCAGACCATCTGCATTTTCTGGCTTTATTGCCATACTCTTAATTTTTAAACAAATTTTATCCTCAGATTGCGGAGGCGAACTTTGGTATCAGACCTCAGGTGTGCTCTCCACTCCTGTTCTAAATGACCCAGAAAAGTCATGTGTCTGGCGCTTGACCCCGCCCCCTCGAATGGTCGTGTCTTGGCGGATAGAAGAGATTAACCTGCGGGAGATAGGCAGCGATGAGGAAATGTGCAACGCGACAACAGGCTTTCTTCGCATCACGGAGCAGTCCATCGGGCAAGAGCTTGACAGTATGGTGGAAGAAGAGGTGGCAAAAGTGTGTGGATCGGTAGGTTTCATTTATATAGTTTGTGTACTAAGCTATTGTTGAAGTATATGTCTATGATGCGTTGATGCTTTGAAAGCTATGGTCTACCTCATCCGAGCATGATTTTATGGTAACCTAAACCATTACGTTTTGTCCCATAAGTTAAAATTGAATGCTCCACCTAATACAACCATTATACTGGTGTTGTATGAGCATTTACTGCCCTTACCTCATCCTTTGCTGACGAAAATATGTATATCTAATACGTTCAACAGTTTGCCGATGTTATCCCCAGACGTCTCGCCAGCAATGCAGTCATCGGTATACTCACTTAAATAAATGCTTGGAAATAAAAATGATATAACCAAGGTTTACACCATACTTAAAATGAGGAGGAAGTTACAAGTGAATGCTTTTTATAGGTGTAACTTAATATAAAATGAGAAATATTGCAAGTGAGAGGCTTGAAGGGACCTCACAAAGTGTATGTGCAATGGCGAATGAGGTTAAATAAATCGAAAATTATGTACTAAATGTAGGGTATACAAAAATATTCGCAATTTACTGAGAAATTAAAATTCCTAAAAAAAGGAGCATAAAGAAAAGAAATAAACCAGCTTAGCAAAAAATAAAGTAAAAAAATTAAATGACCCCTCTTGTATGATCAACTCCGGGGCTTGGAAAAATAAGGACAGCCTACAAGGCAATTTTGTACCAGTATCTCTTAGGAATAAGGCTCTGCTATTTTATATCTTATTAAAAGAAAACATGGTAATCAAGGAGCTTTGTATTCAGTTGACCATAAACGAAGTGAATAGATTTCATTTATGTCTGTCGTTTGACAGAAGAAAGCTTAGCACATTTTCTCACAACTAGAAATATGGTCTCGGAAGCAGCGTCAATATGATTTTTTCACTAGGGTCGCCTGAGATCTTGCTAAGAATAATCCGCAGTCGTCTTCTTTTAAGATCAACTTTTAAGTTCTTTTATCACACATTTTCATTCGAAATATAAACAAGTTTCACAAATGTAAACCAAGAGATTTCTTAAGGCCCAACTTTTTCTAATATATTGCTAATCTTTGCACCCAGCTTCCTGCTGCAACATTTGCTCACGAAGGGATATGCGGAAAAATTTGGAAGGGAGTATAAACTAAGTCCGTTTCGAAGTAATTCCATCAAACTTTGACTGGACTGGAGGAAATCCACAAAAATGATGAAGAAAGTATTGTATACCAGGGTGAGACATAGGGAATATGAACTGCGAAATAAACCGTCACCTGGAATCCAGTCTGTATATACTTTTCTGTAAACATAATACTCATAAAGACTTTAGTATTGACTTAATCCTCTACTAAGAGTAGTTTAAAGATGGCAAAAGTCAAAGGCATGCGTTGCTGTGCAAGCAATATAATAATGATTTGAAAAAATCAATTTTCTAGAAGTGGGTTGACCTCATTGTCGCAAATTGGACTTGTTGTCAGGGTGACTTAGTAAAACGCAGCTAGTCCGAAGTCGTCTGCCATAGTATTTGTCATTATTCGCAGCATCAGACAGTTGACTTGGTACATTCTCAAACGTTTCACCGGCATCGTAGTCGGCATCATCAGTGAGCCTTGCCACTCTCCGCACCAAGATACGAACTCGTCAAAGAGACAAGTGAAGTCAATCCCTCGACAAGCGTTCTGCCAAAAACGGTTATACTATCACTCCCCTTTCTATCCTGTCCTATCTATCTACTCTTTACTCTCTTATCCCACTGCCGCTAAATTGCAGGAAGATAGAAATATCCACTTTCGCGAGCCTTTCTCCATGTTTTTTTCTTTTACAATCCCCTTCATGACATTCGCTCTTCACGGCCAATATGTTTCTTTGTATTACTTTTCTCAGGTACACGTTACTAAGCAATATCCAAGTCAATTTTTCCTACTCTTTATCTCAGAATTCTACGTCCGTTACTCGTAGGCTTCTAATGATCGTGCTCCTCAATATGCCTATCTTCATTCTGTAGTTTTTATGAGACACGAAATTGAGTATTATTTCGGAATTTTAAATAATAATTTCCAATTTAGTGTCCCAGTAGAGCTAATTACCTCCACATCTAGAAAGCCAAACGCTCCTCTTCCTCTACAATCACTCTGAATTTGATCTTTTCATCAATCCCGTTCATAAACTTTATGAAATCCTCCAATTCTTATCTTAATTGTAACCATATTACAAAGTAGTTATCCAGGTACCGCATAAGATCTCGTGGTTGCGCCAATGACGTCTTAAAAATTCCCTTTTAATTTTTTCATGTCTATATTTGCCAATAGAGGTGAGAAATGGGATCGCATAGGAAGTCCAAATGTATGTTCATGGATGCTGTCACTAAATGGGAAGAAGGTAGATCTTATTGTCAAGTTGATTAGTCGTGTTAACGACTCCCTTCTGATAATCTCTGCTTCTGGGATATCCTCTTCTCGATCCAAACTTTCTGCAAGGGCCGTTAGCGCCTCGTCTCAAGAGATGTTTGTGTACATAGATTGTACATCAAAACATACCAGTAATTCTGTTTCTCCCAGTATTATGTTTTTGATCCTATTAGAAAATTTATATGAGTGCTTTACTGTGTCCGATAATCTTTCATTTACCATCTTGAGTTTCTGACATATGAACTTTGTTACTTTGTGTGTTGCTCCATACGTGGTGTTAACTATCAGCCTTACTATACCAGAGGCCACATCTTGGTCTTTATAGCTCCAGAGCAATTTTCTGTTCCTTCTACTTATTTAGCGGCATGAAGTAGTGCACTCAAGTGTGATTTGGTAATGACTGACTACGTGGCCCACAGTTTTTAGGAGGTATTTCAACCTGTCTTCAATATACATGATCATATAAAGGGCAGGAATTGAGTGTGCTCTTTAGCATTAAAAATATTTTATACTCTTTGCTAGCTCCTTCCTATGGCAAGCCCCCTCGTTCGCTCTGTTGTTTAATTAGTCAATTACGCATAAAAGCAACATCGAATTTTCATTAGGTTTAGATCTATTGACAACCCCCAACACGATATTTGTACGGTAAAGTTTCAATTGGATATGAGTTGTATTTACCCTATTTAGTTTAAGGTGATGAAGGACTGGTAGTTAATTTTTCCCACAACTGTGAGTAGAGCTAACATTTCCCTAGAATTTTGCATAACTTTGCTTTTCCAAAGGTGGACTGTACTTTCGATCTCGCATAGGTCTTATCAACACCCCTAAGCGGGAGCGTAAGCTCGATACCTTAACCAGTACGCCACATGGTAACACATATGCGAGGTCGAAACTGCAGTCCACCCCAGATTAGAACTCATTTTGGGAAAGCAAGGCTGTGAAGTTCCATTGAAACGTCAGCTCCACTCATATGATTGTGGGAAAAATCAACTACCAGTCCTTCCTTATTTTAAATGAAATAGTCAATATAAGTCATATATATGATTTACTGGTGGTCTCGAAAATCTACTCACGAAAAAAGTTTCAATCAATCTCAAATGTGACTTAACTTTCAGGCAAGCTCGTGACAAGGCGATATATTGAGACAGAATGAAACTTCGAGGAATTTCAACTTATGCGTTTTACGTAAACTTTAAATAACAATTAGTTGGGATCCAATATACATTCTTCTGTATTACTAACTTTGCGTCAGGAATCCTGATCAATTCTGTTCGAACCACTAGAATATTTTGAGCGACTTAGACTTAGTCCATTCCATTTTAAACAAACCGGACAATCTTCTTAATCATAGCGAAGGAATATAATTTCTTTTTGGCCACGAAGTTTTCTAATAACTTTTATGTACAAAGAATGGGCCTTCATCGGGTACTTAAAGCCTAGTAGGAAATATCTGTCAATCTAGCTCCCAGACAACCGAATAAAATGTAGGTGATGTATAAAGGTCTTTTAACAGCACCTAGACATTTTTATTTCATTTTAATGCCCTAGATAAAATAGAGTAAGAACTCAATCACCCTAGGGCACCTAAGGCAATTCTAGAATGACCTCATTGTAGGAAAATCTCGATTTTCAGCCTGTAAATCACTCTAAGTGACCTAGGGTAAATAAGTTGCTATTCAAGAATTACTGATAGTCGCAAAAGATACTCATATGGAAATTAAAATATAGAGCTCAACTTTTCATCCTTAGGGGAAATGAAGATTATAATATAAGGCGAATTCAGTCAACTCCGTTATGATAAGAGGGGCGTTGATTGAATTTTCTTACAGTGATATGAGCAAACATTATGTTTTCATTGTATTTCATATATCCTTACTTTCCCACAAACTATTATCATCTCAGTTTCTATTTCGCATATCTCTCATCATCACCCCCGGCAGGACTCAAACCTTGACTGTACAGTGTATTAATTCGGCACGTTTTCCACTTAGCCATATTGCCACGAATGCCCTTTCACAATAGATAAAATTTTAATTTTAATGAATGCCAGGCATTTTCCTATATCGCATTCGGGAACTGGAAAAGAGAACCTCAGTTGTGATTATCGTCAAATGAATGCGACATCAAATTGCTTCCTTTTGTATGTATGGCTTAAATAAGTTGTTTAATTGATTTTATAAATGTTTTCCGTTTCAAAAATTGCACGTTCTCTCTCTCTATATATATCTATATTTATTTATTTATTTATGTGGAGAGAGAGAAATATTGGAATATGAAAGCCTTGTCTTGAAAGACATTTCTTTGTATATTTTAAGATATAATGGATATATTTTATTCCTTCTTGAAGGTTGCAATGTCTTCAAGTCATATGAGCAGTTCTGATTACCTTGTGATCATCTATCAGCCACCCATTTCGCAAAGTTCTCCAGCAAGCAGTAAAATTGAGGCCCCTCCCGGATTCCGATTTGTCTGGGACTGTCAACATTATCCACAACAATGAGCTGGGGTTCAAATGACAAAGTGATGGTGATTTGGCATATTTTTTGAGATATAGAATCTGACTGCTTTATGCTCTCTGTCTGTGAACTAATAAAGTACAGGTCTCAGCCTTAAACATCCTATTTCACTAGAGAATTTGATTGAACGGAGGCCGTTACGATAAAATACATAAACTAATAAATTTTCTAAGGACAGGACAGTGAGTCTACGAAAAACCGGGCTTTTTA